ACACATGCCTTCCATTTCCACACTTTGGATCTCATCGCGAGTGATGTAGTGGCAAATGTTGATATCAAGAAGCGTCCTCTGACACGGTTCTTCCTGGAGGAGATTGTTTGGCCTCGAGGTATCCCCACAATCCGTGAATTTAGTGAATGATTTGCATGACTTCCCCGCGCTGCTAATCATATGAGCATGCAGTTCATGTTCTCGCTTCTACGAGAAGGACTTGCCTGCCAGTCCGATGCGTTAGTTGTATGAATACTTCGAAAATGTTTTATGCAGGCCTCGACCTTCATATTGGCAGTTCGCCAACTCAAATGTATCGAATTGCTCGAACATACCATGAACATCCTCTAACCTACTTGGACGCCGCCGCACGCCTGGACTTCCGTCGCCTCTGGCACCGTCTCTTCTCAAACGGAGGACTACGGAATCATGCCGTAAACATCTTCAAAGACTATGAGGTATTTTTCCTACACGCTTCCGAAAACACAGCACCCGTTCTTTTCCCTGTCACTGTACAGATGAGGCACCTTAATTCTCCTGGTTGACGATCTACTGGGAACAGAATTCGTGAATAATATTACCCGTCTTTTAAATGACTCAACCCCCCTTAGGGTGGTGCTATTAAGCCACCGCTAGGTTTTTAGCGTTTCTGGCTCTCATTATTGATTATTTACAGGCTTGAGTTTCTTTGAAACCAAATTTGTTAATGATGAAGCCTAGGTAGTCTTTTATTTCTCAAGTCTTGATTATGAGAGCGAACTACTCTCGTAAGGCCTACATTTGTCCTTGTCACCCTTTAGTTAGGCAACGTAATTCGACGCTTTCACGAGGGTCTACAGTGTCCGCGTTCAGAAATTGCTGTTTTATAAGTTCAGTATATAGTTCCTAGCATTGGAGTAAAATAACCAGCTGTTTGTGTTCATTGCTGTCTGCTAGTAATTTTCCGTCCTTGTTAGTTAGATAGGAGTTGGTCGCAGACTTTCTGAGAGAACCGGACTTTCTGTCTATAAACTGGATTACTGAAATGAATAGTGTGTACGCAGATCTTTGTCAGCTAATGCCTATCCAGGATGGCAAAAGCAGTCACGTCATCGACAGCAGCGTCTTACCACTTGAAATCGCTAGGACCATCGGTCAGAGACATAAGTACACAATTGCTACGGGGTCTTTGTTTTATTGACAATCCTCCTTACTATTAGACGATAACACCCGTCCGCTTTACATTTTTGGGTTTCAGCTAAAAAATCCTTTCAACAAGATTCGATGTCATGATTTTTGATAAGCACACAGTATCATCTGCTACCGAAATATGCTGCTGTCTGACAGTGGTACGTAACGTAAACCAGTCATCTTTGTGGAGCCTACCTACTATTTTAGCGATCTCTATTTTTATCTTCAGCTGCGCCTTAACTACCACCCTGATTTCGTTGAAGTACCGCTGTCCTCGGTCAATTTTTTTACCAATGCACGCGCTCTCGCGAGCCTACTGACTTATCTTCTGCCAAATCCGGGCTCTAATCCCCTGTTCTCTGAGTCTACACTTCAGTGGATGCTGTCTCCTGGTAGCGTTGTCCACGACGATCCTGTTCTTCAGCGGTCTGTTCAATACACAAAAAGCGGACTCTTCATCGAGAGCTCCCCTGAGGTGTGTCTAACACCAGACCTTTCTGTCGATTTGACTCCCTTTTTACTCCTTTCCTTACCTCCCATTCAGGTGATTATCTATAACATGCAGTCTTAACCACTACACGAATTTAGATTTTACGCCGGTCTTTTTCCATGACAACTTACTGGACCCCTCAACCTCACTCGTTCCAAACATAAATTGGACCGTGTTCGCTAATTTAATTGAGGACAGTATGCTAAATCCCAGGCCGACTACGAACATTACGGTGGGAGTTGAAACTGGTCTTTCCCGCACTTTGAAATAAGTGCTTTTAGAGCTGCCGATCCACATTTCTCCTGCCTGGTAGTAGAATGAATGCAATAACCTGGATATTAGGCGGCCCTCCTTACCTATCGAGTCACCTGACTTTTTGACCGTCACTTACTAACTGAGACCTGCGCCGTTTTTTTCGAGTAAAATGTGCTCCCAACTCTTTTTAGTAAGCATTAGTGTTTATTTATGATATACCGGCGAAAATTCTCCCTTGTTGGCTCCAGAAGATCTATCGTGTATCCTACATAACGCTGGCGCAGAGCAGCCTCGACTCTGCCTATGATGATCATATCGTCGCGAACGATGAGTTCCGTCATTACTCTACAAGTATGGCTCAGCAGTGATTTTCTAGTGGGTTTTTTGTAGTGCAACTGCCTTGCACAGCAGTCTTCTCACCATGTCTCTTCCCGCGTCCACCACTTTTCGACCAAAGGTAGACGCGGACGCAATGGCTGACAAAACCAAACGGCCTGTCTACGTCTGCCAAGCACGACCTTGTTCCGACACCTGTTCTGGATTTCATGTAGGGACCTGGAATCTCCTTTAGTTGAGAATGTTATAACGGCTACTGCGGCCTGACTACCAGTTCTGTTTAGAGCCGGGTTACCCCGTTAGTTGACAACCTTTCGAACTACGATTGATAGCGCGTCGATATGGGCCGTAAAGTTAGACATCCTCTCCGTTTAGGTCTCGGCCCTTCTTCTCTCTTCCGCACGCAAGTTGACTAACCGAGCCTGTCAGCCGACCTGCGATCGAGCGCGGCGGATACTATGACATGAAACTTCCGCCTTCGCTGTGCCGCACGCAGAAGTGGAGCAGCACGACAAACTCGTATCATGATTTTGTCTGATTCATGTTTTGATTCAACTTGCCTGCAGTGCAGCCCGTTTGGCCCGGGGGGAGGGTAGTCGGTCCTTCACTGCAGACTCGAGTGGTCGTGGACGATCACCCGACCAGTGCAGACTGCAACCCGGCGATTGGGAAATTGTGTTCGAAAATTGACTGTATGTAAATCCGCGCGGGTTTTGTAAGACTCAATGTCTCGGTTAGTTCCTTAGATCAAAGTCCCTAAAATTTAGCTGCCAGACTTAAGCTGACCTCTATGCGGCCGTGCGATGTGGCGTGGGTTATCGATGACTCTAGAGAAGCTAGTGAACCGCTATTTCTACGCGGGATTTCGCTGCAGATCTTCCCGCCATTAACTGCTTATTGGTACGCAATTGCATGTAGGCTGAAGATCTTGGGCCACAACAGTCAGAAAATAACTGCTTCACACAAACACTAGTTAAGTTTCAATGTTTTTGGTACAAGGAATTGTGTTCCGGGAGATGCTGCATGCGATCGAGCGAAGTTTTACTGAGTCCGGACCTTCGGATGCGTTTTGGACGGGGTCCACAACTGAACTTTGCTGAACAGTACTGATGGGACGCGTACACTTATCCCTGCGATGCATGGGAGACCAGTGTTTTTGGTGATTCGTCAGTCCTGGGAAAACCGTGGCACCTGTCGATATGCCGATCGGTATTCCCATAGCCGACAGTGATTTCGCGAAGTAAATTGAAAGGACATGTTTATTAACTTGACCAGCGAATGACCCTTCCTCGACAGTTAACTTTCCGCCTAACAACCGACAGGACAACAGTCCTGTGTCTTGATGGTAGAGCGTTGGTTAACTTAGTGCTCGATGACATAAGAGTCCCCGTTCGAGTCCCGAGTCGAGCATGGCCGACTGACGACGGCTTAGTAGTCGGAGATTGCCACCTCATTCTCACTTCTCTTTGTTGGTACTCTTTTCTAGATAGACAGAGTGCCTCGTTTTTAAGTTATGCGCTTTTTCCGTTCGTTTTCATGCCTACTAGTTTATGGCCGCCTCCAGCGTGTTATGCACTAGACCACTCAGACTCTGCCACCTTTGAGGCTGGCACATTTCTGGGCGATGCGTTGTAGCTTTCGTGATCCTCGCAACCGAACACAAGAAAATTCGAAGTCTGTATTTTTCTCACCTCGGATGCCCATCCATCTTTGCAGACCATTTGACAGCGTCATTGTGATGTGACATTCCACCTTTCGTTGCCGGCGGTGTCCATTATGTGCTCCACAGCAACGTGAAGCAGGCACGATGACTTGCGCGTGAATTATTTTAAAGTGAGTGTAGACTTGCACTGCATCCACCTCACTCTCTCCTTCTCACTCACCTGGGTCCGGTGTCAAGAAATAGTCAAGAAGACCCGGGGGCGGGAGGACGCATTTGGGATGGTGCGGCCGAGCACGGATCCTGGCGCTCAACTCCACGCCGCCTGGTCTACACTACAATCGAACAGGATTTTAACCAACAACAAAAACAGCGCCACAACGGGTCAGAAGAACGATGATGACTGGCAGCCATGCTTAAGCGCATCTACTGACAGGGAACTAGTTGTCAGAGAACGACCAGCGTATACCAGGCTGCGAGGGCCATGGTTTGCTGACCCTGGCATAGCAGACGCTTACAGACCTCTTGGCCCCATTTTGATATACGCTCACCCCAAAGGACTCCTAGAGACAGTCCAACTCAACTTTCTCGTTGCTAGGCATAACGCAATGCGTTTTCCTCTGATAAGAGTTTTCGTTTGTGTTAAATCGGAAAGCTTCTGTCGGAGTTAACTATTTACCTGGCCTTCCTAATTGTTTATGTATTTCCCCAACAACAGCCGAGCAACTCTTCAGATGCTCTTTCGATGCTCCTGTCTTCTCATGAACATTTCGCCGACTCGAAAAGTGCCTTCTGCCAAAATTCGGAGTCTATTTTTTGTCAAAGCCAGTTCACCTTCCTACGTCCATAGGCTGTGGAGTTTATATGTTGTAGTCTTCTGGGCAAATCTGTCCGCTCATGCGCTTTTCTATGTGATTTTACAGTTGTTTTACTCTTCAAATTTTAGGGAAAGCCGATTTTCGGGCTGCGTGACGATATTCTCGGACAAGTGGCTTTTGTGGACCCGTCTAGAAACTTGACATTCGCATATGTTACAAATCATGCCCATGGCTGCTCCGTCCAGCGCGACTGGATTTTGAAAACCCTTATCCAGGGCATCTATGCGTGCCTCTAGACAGGGTGATTTTTAGGCACCAGTGAAGGCAGACTCTTACACCTGCATTTGCGTAACCCTTTTTAAAATACATTTCGCAGTCAGAGACTTTTGTTCTAATCACAGTCTTCCAATCAGGAGGTCGTTTCCAAACCACTACAGGCCAATGCCGTCGGTCTAAGTTCTGACGATATCGCAGAATGCAAAGGCGGGACAGGATCGCCACGCCTCATCCTCCAATTCTCGGGGCGTTCAGTCGAAACGTGCCGCCGAATTCTGCTGCTGATTGTGCGAACCTCCGAAATAGCCCGTGGGATTCTTGTTCCTGATCCTAAAGCCATCGTGTACTGCAATAGAGCGACTACCTTCGCACAAGTCGTGGTAGAGTCTCAAGTCTAAAGGCTTTGGGTTTCACCATCCCCCGATAATTAATTGCACTCTCCGTCGGTTGTTTTCCTGGATCTGGACATTCACTCCACTGGGGGTTTGCTTCATCGCCGCATCAATCCAGGCTACTAGGAGAATGTAAAACAGGGTGTTTGGTTACCCATGTAGGCTGAGAGCCCACCCATTGTTTTGCTGTGTAGGTTTGATAAGCGGCAATTTTACATGCACTTCATTGGTTAGCCGGGCGACACATGGTAGTGCAGTTTTGAAGGACATAATAGCCAATCACAGTTGGGGTGAGTCACCTTGCCCCGTCTTCTCCCACAAGCATGGGAATACCCTCTCGACATACCTAACTTCCAAAGAGAACTAATTGCTGACTCCTGTCTGGGTTCCTCGAGTGGGCGACAAGAAAGTTGATTTGCAGGACAGCCTGTAGATAGTTATTTCCGCGCAGAAATTCTGTTCACCAGAGCACAGTGACTGCTTTTCAGAGGCATCCCTCTCTGGTCCCTCTATTGGTTTTTAGCCCTACCAACTCTACCAGCGGTCATTAATCCAGCTGTCCCGCACAGCGTAAAGACGTGCGTCTAAGCACTCTGGACTACCGAAGACCCGCTGGAGCTGTGGCACGCCGGGCACTGGTTATCTGGGATGACTTGCTGTGGATGTGTTTTGTCAGCTGTGTAGTCACTATGCGTTTCGGGGTTGTGCCATAAAGGGCCAGAATGACTGCGTACGGAAATAGTTAACCGCAAGGTGCGAATACAGTTGTGGGGCTCTTCGTCACGGGCGGATGATGTCTTTCTAACCCGGATTCCATGGGTGCGGTAGGTGGTCTAACTCATGAAGTGTCAACCGGAATGCGTTTTCGTTTCGAAAAGATTAATTAAGTAGGGTCGTATAACCTGCAACATAATTCTGTAATAGTTCGGTTACTTCAGGATGCCGGCTTTCGAATGAACTTCCTTTCGGCTGCATGCAAAAACTTCACTCTGTAAAAAACGACCACTTACGTGGCATAAGTTTTTCTCGTTTTTCAATGCCCTTAACTATGAAATTATATTTCATTGGAAAGAATGCATAAACATATTCACTCTTTCGCTCATTTGGTAGAAAATTACGTCTTATAATTTTATGCTCGAAGGAGTAAAATAATTTAAAAAGTTTCTAATTGTGGGACTTTTAAATACCGTGAAATGGCCGTTTATAAATCGTCACGTCTCTGCATTTACCAGTGTGGCTTGTACAGTTAACAATATGGATCAAATTCGCTGCCAAGTTTTATGAACTTCATATGGTCTCCCTTTTTTACCATAGAGAAATTTGTGGTTCCCCGTACGCAGAAAATGTACAATTTTTGAGCCAGATCAACCGTTGCATTAGCGTTTAGCGATTCCAGTCTACAGGGTACATGCTATCCGCGTAAGGAAAATCATATATTCCTATATGCCTTTAAGAAGATACCGTGTGGAGTTCATTGAAATTTTGTAATGGATACAGTCTATGTACGTTTTATGAGAAGCACTGGTAAACGGGTATGTGCGATGCTGTATGTATGGACATCGCATGGTCTTAAAAGGTTTATGATTAGAAACTTCTTTAAAACCAAAAGATACCATTTTTCGAGCATAAAACGTGAAAATAAGGTGATTTTCTTCCAAAAGGATAAAAGAAAGCATATCTTTGGGCATTTTTTCATAAAATGCATTTCATTTTGTAGGGCCATCGAAAATTAATGTGGAAAATGCATGCTTCTTAAGTAGTCACTTTTTAATGAGTGTGGTTCCTGCAGCAGGTCGAAAGCAAGTGCATTCGAAAGCGGACATCATGGCGAGTCCGAAATACTATGATTATGTCTCATGATGAACATAATGACAATCCCACCTGAGTAATCCTTCTTAATCGAAAACGCATTTCAGAATTTCAGCCAACATTTCATGAGATCGGTCAAACACTGTACATGTTACCGTCAGGACTGCTACTCGAAGGAGCCCCTACATCCCCACAGTCTGTCGTGGTCGCGTTTAAGGACGTTAATAATATTACAGAGGCATTGTAAATTCGTGCTGTGGGGATTCTCTCTACGACCAAACAAGTTCTCGTTAGCTGACAACAAAGTAACCACCATTCGAACCTTCGTGACTGGCTGAAGAAGCGGGCTACCTTGGTGATGAAACCTTCAAAAAATGCAACCTTGGTTCAAAAATTACTGCGCGTGCACTCATCGCACACCGTAACGGAATTTGCATTAGGCGAGCACCGATCCCCAAAAGATGCTGATAATCTAGGAACGATGGAAACGCCTAACTGATATTGCTGACGGCACGGTTTGTTGTTGTGGGCAACTCCACAGTTCGCCCCCGCCTGACAAGAAAGCGTGCTACCAGCTACAGGGCAGTTTCCACCTGACCGAAATCACCTCGAACCCTCTATCACCGCCAACAACAAGTTACTCATTTGGCGTCTCGAGCACCTTGCCTCCTACCGATTATATCGCCTTTCCGTCTGCTAAAACCTCAATGCTGGACATGTTCCGCCTGATCGTTGACCGCCCGGACTACCGTCACTGTACATATGCAACAGTCCGACCGTCGTTTTCGACGACGTCCACCGTGTGTCCAACAGTAGGGTGGTCGCAGGGACGATGACTTTTGCGCAAGTTATTTTACAGAGAAATAGACTTGCACAGCATCTACCTTACTCTCTCCTCCCTCACCCAGTGAGCCCGGTGTTGGAATAGGGTCAAGAAGACCGGAGGTCGGAGAGAACGCAGGTGGCTGGCAATCCGAGAACACACTTCTGGGCGTGTCACCACAACCCCTGGTCCATAACTTACACTAATCTGGCCCCCGCATTGGTCCAGTGCATATATTGCATGGTCCGTTGTAGGGCACACCGCCAAACGACAGGCGATCAATAGCGTTAGTGCGCAGCAGGATCTACCGATGTCAACTGCTATAATTGTATTATTGTCCAGGCTACTTTATAACTAAAAGTAGTTGGAATTTCACGGCCTTGGGGGGGGGGTCGACTGCGGTGCATGCTACTGGTGCATTGGGCATTTTGTGCCGTATACACCTCGGAGTTGCCCTTTAAGTCTCCGACCCCTTTTGACGCCGTTTGACACTTTGAAGTCGTTTACAGTAAAACGCTATTTCTGAGTCGGTTTCGCAAAAAAGAACTGACTGGTTTTCGAAATATTTCTCGCAGAGGTGGGCAGGTTTGAACATATGGGAATAAGAGTAGGACAGCTAAATAATAAAGCAGCGTTTACATACTGTCGGATGAAAGGCAGTGAAATGTCCATTTGGTAGTTTGACCGTCGCAAGTAACGACGGAGCGAGTGCGGCACCGGTGGTTCGCGCGTGAATTAGTTTTCTAGTGAGGCGTACGTGCGCAGCATCTGCTGCACCAATCGCCCAACGGGCTCCGATGGTAAGGCAGTGTCAAGACGACGGGAGTTTGGCTTAGTTGACAAAGATAAACGGTACATCTACGCGTGCCACGCACAGCCTGGTCCCCGCGCAATGTGTCAGATTTTCAGAGAGGGGGCCGGGATCTCGCCTTCGTGAATGTCATGGAGGTCACACCAAGAAGTTGCCTTTGAGTCTGTCTCCCAGTCCTAAAAAACAATATATAAACAATATATATATATACATATATATAATATAAAAAAACAATATTGACTATGAGGATAAGACGTGATCATGTTTAGAGGAAAAAGGCTGGAGGTATACGCTTCAGGAATCAGAGCTGTCAATCCTCCAGTGCGCGCAATTATATGACTGATGCCATCTGTCTGCATGAAATCTTGTACCACGAATATGTATACAGTTAGCCATACTACTAGGAGCTTAATGTAGTCCTCTTTACTCGGAAAAAAGATTTTATAAGTGGAACGTTTTCTCATGCACAAAAGTAAGCTGCCTGCTGATACCTCGAAAGAAGATGGACGTTAGAATGCAAGTAGTGGAATTAGCAACCTGGATCCTATCGAAATTGCAAACGGCCCTTTAAATCCAGTAGGACATTTTAGTTCCGCGACTGCGGAAACTGGGCATCCTCTTCTCTAAAACACACCAGGCTATCAAGCGCTCTGCCTCAGACATGGTGTTGTTATGGCTGTGTGGATATTTTTGTCACGTATTCGGACCAGTGACACCGTGTCGCTTTTAGTGGTCACTCGCTGCATTTTACGTTGCCCCCTTAAAATAACCGTCCTCGCTCATTCTAGCTCTTTCTGGCACATGGTTGCCTGCGTTTTGCTCGTACATTCATTGAAAAAGCTTAGGCCTGCGTCTATCACATCTTTTTTACATTTCGGCATGGTTTCCGTTTGTGCCGCATTCTATCTCAAAGCAATGAACATGGACTAGCTGCTGCCACCATATTTGCCCGTATTTCAGTTGAAGGCGCGTGGAGCATAAAATAATCCCCTCAACTTTGTACAATCTTGACAAACGCCTGGTAATAACAATAATTCGTGTAAATAATGCTGAGGTAGATAACAGCAAAATAAAGAAAGGATGGTACTCGATGGTGGGCTCGGTCAGCGGGGCAGGTCTTCCACATGTCCGGATGGCGACACGATGGTGATCGTATTGTTGCGGGTATCTACGAAGGAAAGGCTC